AAATTCAGCTTTGCATCACAGAAATAAATTACATTTTAAAATGTACCAAAACAGAAAACGGTTATATTAAATTGCAATATTTCAAAATTTTACTGTATTTTTGATCAAATAAATGCAGGTCTGGTGAGCATAAGGTGTATATGAAAATGAGTAGACACGGCTGCGCTAGACACAGGCAGGTGAACAAATAATAACGTTGACCTTACTTTTAGGAACATGAGGTAGAGCTGGCCTGGTGTCAGAACCTCTTGGAACATCAGACTGTCAGGGTTTTCCTCCATACACTCCTGCTTGGCAAAGCTGAAGAGCTTCCGTGTCATCAGACACAACATGTAGAACTTCTCCACATCTGACTTCAGGTGAATACACAGACATTCACTGCAAACAGATTCAAATTTTTTTTTTAAATGCCACATTTGAGATTATTTATATAAATACTGAGATGATCACTTTTTTTGCCATCTTTCTAAGCTCTACCTCCAACACATCTCAATATATATAAAAAATTCTAGTTTTTGAATCAGGATCAGTAACACTTTGAACTTACTCTAACAGGAAGTGAGCACACTGCTCATGGGTGAACCAGTCTGGGAGGTTGAGTTTGACCCGGAAACGCTCGCCCAGATAATTAAGCACCTTGGCTTTAGTCATGCAGTCCTGTTCCATGACCATACGCAGCATTTCTGAGACACAGCTTTTGTAGAAAGAGTTCTCCTCTCGACCTTTAATCAGCTCCTGGTAGATCTGGTAATCTGAAAAGTCCACTAGAGCCTTGGCAGAAGAAAGGAAAGACATTTTAATATGAAAAATTTAATTCAAATGTAATTATGCACCAGTGCCTAAATATTTATTTATTCACTTTAACGCCTTGCCAGCATCAAGGCTATTTTCATGGCAATCTCTGAATAAATTATATAAAGTATAATATTAACAAAAGCTTATAAAAGACATTTCAGATGTACACTAGACAAAAATTGCCTAAATATTACACCTTCATTCTGATTGGTCAGTCGAGGTGGTTAAATATTTGTGTATAATGACTGCTAAACTGTCCTTGGTTCCAGG